GAGATTGGAGCCGCTGAGGACACTGATCGATGGTAGTTCAGGCGCTACCTGCACACAGACTGCAGACATAATGCAGATCTGGCGGAAACACTTTGACTGTCTCTTGATCAACCGTTCAGAGATCGACTGGCCTAAATTGAACTGCCTGAAGCAGCACGATGTGAAGGCGGATCTGGCGGATACGCCGACACTGGATGAGACGCGGAGAGCACTTGCTCAGCTGCGAAACGGCAAAAGTGCCGGAGCCGAGAGGGATCCCGCCGGAAGTATTGAAACACGGCGGACCCGCGTTGGTGACTGCGCTGCACCACTTGGTGCAACGCGTAGGGATTGAGGAGGAGGTGCCTGCTAAGTTGAAGGATGCCCTTGTGCTACCACTGTACAAGGGCAAAGGTAGCAAGCAATATTGCACGAATTATCGTGGCATCAACTTGCTGAGTTGTGTGGGCAAGGTGATTGCCCGAATCCTGCTCAACCGCCTCGTCGGTCAGGTTGTGGAACCGAACGTGGTGGAAGAGCAGTCTGGATTCCGCTCGGGTCGCAGCACCATAGATATGGTGATTACGGCTCGTCAGTTGCAGGAGGAGTGCAGAGAACGACACCAGCCATTGTACTCGCTTTTTGTTGATTTCACCAAGGCATTTGATACGGTGAACCGCGAGGCATTGTGGTTGGTGTTGGGTAAGTTTGGTTGCCCGCGTAAGTTTGTAAGTTTAATTGAATGTCTGCACAGTGGTATGCGAGCGAGGGTGCAGCTGAGTGGAGAGACCTCGGGTGATTTTGCAGTTGTCTCTGGTGTGAAGCAAGGCTGTGTCTGAGCTCCTGCCCTGTTTAATATATATCTTCATGCAATGTTGTCTTGTGCTTTTGTTGCCGCTTGTGCTTACGGTGTTCGTGTGGAGCACCGTATTGATAGTGGGTTGCTGAACATCCGTCGTTTCGGTGCGAGAACTCTAGTCTGTGAGACAACTAGCCGTATGTTGCCGTTTGCTGACGACTGTACGTTGTTTGCATACAGCGCGGATGAGTCGCTGCACATGAGTAGCGTTCTGGCTTCGACAGCTGCAAAATTCGGGCTCACCATCAACACAAGCAAAACGACTGTCTCTTTCAGCCTTCACCGGAGGTGCAATCTTCAATATCGACGCAAATCAGTATTGGTGCTGAAGTATTGGAAACCGCCTCGCGCTTCTGCTACCTTGGGAGTGTGATGTCGACTGATCAGAAGCTAAACAGTGAGCTGCATATCCGCGTGTCGAAGGCAGCGGCGGCATTCGGGAAGCTGGAGTACCGAGCGTGGAACAACCATCAGCTTACCATTGGCCCGAAGCTGATGGTGTACAAATCCATGGTGCTGTCCGTTCTTCTATACGGCAGTGAAACGGGGACGATGTACCGTCGGGATGTGCGATATCTCGAGCCGTCCCGTCAGCAGTGTTTGCGACGAATTTTGCGCATTACTTGGGGCGACAGAGTTGCAGACACGGAAATGTTGCGCCGAAGTGGGATGTATGCAGTGGACTGCATACTTTTACTGAGACATCTGAGGTGGCTCGGTCATGTGAGCCGTATGGATTCAACGCGGATACCGAAACAACTCTTATATGGTCAGCTGAGTATTGGGAAACGGCATGTGGGGAAACCAAAGTTACGTTACCAGGACATGATCAAAGTGAGCCTCTCACGTCCTAATCTTGATTGCAGATTATGGGAATCAAAGGCGATTGATCGGCGTGCATGGCGCTATCTGATCATGAAGGCAGTTGCCGAAGTGCGGAAAATAGACCTCATACATGTAGAGAAGAAGCGGCAATTGCGGAAGCGGCAAACACCGATGGGTTGTACTCCATCGACCTCGAGCGCATGGTGCTGTAGCACATGCGGTCGTGAGTGCCTGAATCAGGCAGGCTTAGTGAGCCATGAGCGAGGCCACTCGGGACCACTACCGAAGCAACGACGGGTCCTGCAGAGAACGTAGGCAGAACCGGCGCAGCGTTTGTAGATACGCTGCATTCGATTTACTAACTGCGTGCTTGAATGCTAAATCTATTTATTTCAGGTGGTGGGTTTCAATTTTGTCCTAATGCCTTTCTTTCTCATATAAATGCCTATCCATACTCTCTTCTATAAACTTGCACACGTCGCTTAAGCCAATTGTAGTTAATTTCGATAACATTTTCGTGTTTGTAGCATTTCCGTAAAATATACTTCCCGACCTCATGAACTTACCTCAGTAATTTAACATTTATATCACGGTTTCCTTATGCATTACTCGGTTTATTTTATTTGTTATCTTACACACAATTGATTGACTGTTGCTTGATATCCCCGGTGTGGCTGCGCTCGATGTGCAAGTTGACAAGGTGCCTACCTGTCTATTACCCCCTACCTCGTCCATACTGGCTCCAGGAGACAGTTTGTCGTTGCTGGAGGGGACGGGGTGCACAGTCCTTGTGGCCGTGTTAGGATCAAAAAGTGGTTCCATGCACTCAGTGTGGAGCGGATTACGGTCCAGCCACCGCCTTGTGTGCGCTTGATTCCCCAAATACAGCGTGCTTGTGTTTGCCTGTGCAGGAGTGTGGGCCGGCTCCATTGATGAAACGTGGCTCCCATCCACACGCCTTCGGGTCTTGTTGCTTCGGTGTGCGGTGTGGTGGTTGAAGCTGTGGGTGGTGCAGCGCAAGCCATCCATGGTCCCTCTGTAGGCGCAGGCGTCTAGTGGCTGGCCACAGTGACAGGCAAATCAGAACCTGATGCCGCCAGCCATATATATATATATATATATATATATATATATATATATATATATATATATATATATATATATATATATATATATATATATATATATAAACTGTGGTACAGATATTTTGCCATCGGAATCGCGGCTGAATAGGAAAACAGTATGAATAATAAGAAAAGCGCAACAACAACAAATGTTTTTTTGTCTAGTTTACCACTCACAGTTTTTGAATTTTTTCAGTTTGTATTTTTTCGGGGGAGGAATAAGAGACACCGCAAGACACCGATGCACACGTCCACCATTGACATCGATCTTGAGCCATGGCTTCCAAGGTCTTCAACCCGCAAGTATCCGCATCTCTCTGAAAAGTGACCTATGCCCGGTGCTAGCACAAGTTGCACGATCGGAATTAGAACCACGCTGCTTGATGTGGACAAGAGATTTACATGGGGATGAACTCGTGGTGGGGATAAAAGTGCGGGAGAGAAAGCGGACGATGAATTAGCGGTGTGAACAAATTATAGCTGTGTCCCTCTGCTTATCGTGTTTTAAACTACATCCCGATGCAACGCGCCGAGGCTCCACAGTCACGCGACCTCGCCACCAGGAACACGCAGGCTAGGGATACTCCGAGATCGTCCGCATACACTCTGAATCGAGGCCATGATCCTGGGTTACAAGGCAGATCCCTCATCCCTTCGGCCACCGACAGAGACAGGAAGAGAAAGACAGAGTACCGAAGATGCAATTTATAGGACTCAGTGATCTTCCGCCATCTGACGGGGAAAGAGTTTTATTTAATCTATCGGAATATGCTTAGAGCAGACTAGAAGTTCAGTTTTATAGGCTTGGAATATAACTCGGTTTTGTGTAGGTTTATGTAAAGTGGCAACAACTACTGATCACTGACTTATGGTTCTTACCTGCAAGCTGATGGAATAAGTGTTGCTTTTATTGTCGAGTTATGGACTGCATGTCGTGTGCGTGGATTGCTACTCGCATGCTCTAATGGGGTCACAATTTACTTCAAGGTAGACATCGTACATTATGAATATTGTGGAGGCATGGGGAATAGTGAGCAGCTTATGGGCTGCTTGTTTCCAACATTGAGTTGTTCTGTTTTGGGACCATGTTCTGAGTCTCTAACTCAATAGTCTAGCTCAAAAGAGGCTGGAAAGCATATTCAGATTAGGAGTGAGACTGCAACGTCTGTATAGGACCAGCTTGTGGCTTGTCACTCAAGGCGTTTGAATCTACAGAGTACTTTTTCTTTAACCGTATCGTATGGTATACATGTGGTCACAGTTAACCGCAGGAAAAATATGACAGATTTTCACCTTATATGTAGGAGATTGTCTGGATTGGGGTGAAGCTTAGTATACCAGAGCGCTTTTCCATCCAGAAACAACTCATAGCGCTCGTGGTCTGCACTGGCTTGCCGGAGCCAAGCATCCGTAAACCGCCGTTCGCAAGGGCTAATTTTTTACGGAGGCTCATTAATCTCTCCCTAAACTTCCATGAAACGCTGAAATCGTGTGCGACTAGCCTCTGCTCATTAACCTGTATGGCCTGAATGCTTCGGCAGTATCCGAAATGCGCCAACCTACGTGTTTTATTGAAGCACGTCACTCAGACCATACCGTCACGACAGGATATACCGTGCCCACTGAGCACAGAAAAGCCATAAGGTGATGGACTATAAGAAGCATTCATTGGCACAACATATCTTCATGTCATCCGAATAAGGAAATGCTTTCAGGTAGCCGGGATTATTCTGAAGTAATTGTTGTGTGTGTGGATTACAGTACGTATTCTTATTCCTGAATGTGATTCATTTGGAGGTGAGCCTCAGCCAATTTGGTCACTGGGACTGGTTAGTTATCGGTTACGCAGATAACAGACAGTGTCCAATGAAGTATGCACTGTGTAGAATACCTCAAGGCAGAAACTACATTGAAAAGAAATGAGTTCTTGAATTGAAATTTCAGGAACCTCTATGGATGATAGTTGACCGATATAATGTTGGGCAGTTGTACCTACAAACTGTATTCTGTATAATCTCCCATTTCGGCACCGTCATAACCCATTGTTCTTCAAAAAGTAAGATCAAGTGAAAGGGGACCTCAGCTGATAGGTGACAACATGCACAGGTAAGCGAATGATGTAGTTCTAAGCAGAACTATGAGGATACACAACAGTCCGAGGAAAAAGTACGAAATATTCAACGAATACCGACTGGGACACGATTCTCAGTTACCTGCCAGGCTTTCATCACAACTACCCGATCGAGTGAAACGGAATAATCGGTCCAGTAAAGATTCCAATCCTCGTCTTCTTCCACTTCTCGAAATCCGAATCTTCGCAAAACGCGTCGAACTGCAATGGTACCAAAATATGGGTAATGGAGCCAGATCATGGAAGGATAATGCCGGTATCAACGACTGCATTTTTATTACTGTTAATTTATCCCCGTATAGTCTTTCCCTATGAAACACGAATATATAGTACGAAAACACGAGAAAAACTCAACAGGGTAACTCGGTTGAAAATAAACAGACAAACATTTAAAGCAGTACGGAACTGAGGCAAGGACGTTGCGTGGTGGCAAGCATCGATAAGATCCACAACTTGGGTTTTTCTCTGTGCTGAGTGAGCTGTTTGCGGACGTTTGTACACCAGACCACGTGTTATTTTTATTGTAACACCCAGTGATGATAATGACAATTGAAAACAAGATGCTCTGTTCAGGGAACAACTCTCTCCCTTCAAGCAGTTAAGTGGAGACCCACTAGCTCTACAATGCCTACAGTTTACTTCATATTGTCGCGCCAGAGATACTCACAGTAGTGTTGCTATCCCAGAATCAAGACGAAAGTCTGGGAGAGAAGCACAACTCATGATTAAGAAGATTCGTGGTTATATAAGAAGTACATATAGTATTTTGTTGTTGTCCTCTTTTGGCTCGCCTGTGACGTTAGCTACATCCTATTGGTTCATGCTCATTCTCCAGATGAGCGGATCCACGATTACCGAGCGCATGTTTACGTTGGGCCTCGATGTTGTCATCCCGGATAGAATGCACGGTGGTGTTTGATTGGCCGTCCGCCACTTTAGTTGCTGAATCCACGATTAGTTATTGGCCGCAGCTGTGTGTTGTTAACGTGGACTCAGGCGTATGCCATCCGCTCGCCTCACGGCCGACCAAGCCGCAGTTTTTCCATCTGAAGACATGTTGTTCCTCCATTGCACTGGGGTGAATGGTTTCATTTTTGTCAATTCTCATGAGTAGCGCATGATTGCTTGATCGTGCCTCCTTTGTCCTGGTCCGGATCAGTCGTGTCTGCTCGGCTTTCATGGGATTGGCCCCTGGTCCATCGCGGTCACATCGACTCTATTCGCCCGCGGTCCCATCCATTATCACACCCACTTACCTCAAGGGTCGATTAACCTACGTTAGAGGCTTTCCAAGAGATCAAGAAGGCAGTGCTAACAACGTTGCAGGAGTTTGCTTACTCGTCCAAGTGTTTGTTCATCTACGATGGTGATCAAGCAACTTTCAGCTCACGATAAACCACCGCTGCAATAAGCAGCAACGACAGGCCCTCAGAAGGATGGTGAAGTTGTAAGAGTTAAACTGGAGATCGAGTGGCAGCACTGTTCAACAGCTGTAATAGTTACTGAAGACATAAGCGTGAAGTGCCACTTGGGCCCATACTTTCAATGACGAACGCGCCACAGTACAATCATCTCGTTGGTTAGTAATGGTGCTTTCTTCGCTGGGACAGTGGTTCAATCTGCACAGTCTTAGGGACTTATTTCAACACATTATTGACCAAGATAAAATCAGTTTGTCAGACAAGGTCAAGTGTAGTTTGGATGTAGAATGCTTATTCACCAATATCTCGTTACATCAGGCGGTTGATTAGGTGTGCGGATTAGCTGAAAACTCTGGCTGTTCGTTACCAATTCCAATTAAACTGTTGTGAGACTCCCTAATATTGTGAACAGCGAAAGTGGACTTTCATTCCCGGAACACACCGTGCTGTCAAATTGATGGCATAGTAATGGGTAGCCTATTAGGTCTTGTTCTCGCTGGTTTCTTCATGGTAACTATAGAAAGAAGCATTTATACAGAAACAGCCTATGTACCCAACTATGGGCATAATTTACGAGTACAAACTATATGTTGTTCATCAGCGCAGCAGCTCACACAGTTGGTAGAGCACCTCAACGGTGCGCATGCTAACTTACGGGTTACATGCGAAGTAGAATGGAATAATTGCCTGCCATATCTAACATCGTCATCAGTCGCAGAGATGATGGATTCATTAAGAGGTCCGTTTATTGAAAATTATCATGATGCAGTCAGTGATCTCATTTCACCAGCTTCAAACCAGTGGGATACAAGCGGAAACTTGTGAAGAAACTAGGTAATCGCCTCAGACGGACTTGTTCGCCAAAATGTCAAGACGACAAACTGGTTTTACTTACAGCAACAGTTATGGCGAGCGGATACGCCTGGAGCATTATTGAGACAGACACCCAACCGCGATGACCGAAGAAGTGGCTGCACAAGGCAGCCAAGAAGGAGGTTTATATGGAGTTTCTATTCAAAGGGGATTTAACCACGCTGGAGACAACTATGTGTGTAACCTCGGTTTCACAAGGCGGTTACTATGCTGCATAAAATGGTGTCATCAACCGAACCCGAAATTTGCCTATAAGTTCAATGAAGAAAGCTCAGCCTAAAAGGGCCAACTCACACAGTGTGTACCAATTCCTGTGTAACTGTGAGCCAGTTCTATAGGCAGAACTGACAGGAGTGCATTCTCTAGTAAAGGAGCATGTGCCGAGAGGGCTTCAGCGTGAAATTACCCAGTTTCCAACCCCAAATTCCGTGCTCGCGTAGGACGCCGGCTTCTTCGGTAGGTAAACACCGGATAGAGCGGGGCTCGCGTTCAAAGTTGTGTTACGTCACGCCAATTCCGCCTCCTTCAGTTTGTTGAGGCTGTCGCTATTATCTAGCCCTGTGGGTTCAACGACAACTATTTGTTAGCCTAGGGCTGTCTTGAACGTATGGGTGAAATTACGGCATTCACTCTGCAACTCAAGCTTGTCTGGTCGCACCCACTGTTAACCTTAGGTATCGGTTACTGTTATGGGTACTGAGAAGACGATACAAGATGCATGCATCGACCAGTTTTCGTCTTCTTTCTGTTTCAATTATATGTCTGTGACATTTGCTGGAAGTTTTGACCCGACATGTCTTCCGCGTGAACTGGTCGCAGTCGCTAGGGTTGGTGGAGAGTGTGCAACGAATAAAGCACAGGGTGATCGCAGATAAAGGTGGACCGGATTGTCCTGGATAAAGGTGAGGGACAACTACACGCATTAAAGGATTTTGCCATCAACTAGGTGTGCAATGGCGCTTGGTCAACAGAAAGAAAGGCGACGCGGAACCACAGAACAGGAGGCGAGTCAAACGACACCCGAGCGAGCCAGATTGACGACGCAGTTTTGCGGCCTAGCGTGGTGTGTGGGTTGAAAGGCTTGTGTTGGCCCGTGAGCATAAGCAGAAGGAAGAGGAGGTGACACCAGGGGTCGATAATGAAAGCTGCTGCATAAGAAGCGAGCTCCAAGCAAATGTGCGGTTCATGGGTAACTGCTTCCACGCTTTACAGACTCGGTTCTGACTCCAAACCAGAGGCGTGTTAACTAAGGAATCGGGTAGCGGCTCCCAATACATTTAATTCGCTTACTTCACCCCTCTGCATTGCAGTCAGCTTCTCAGTCAAACCCTCTGGGTGGTGTTCCCGAAGTTAGTCCCGGACTTTGGCTTGGCAGCCGGTTAGCATCATGTCCTCAGAAGAAAGCAAGGATTACGCAGCTACTACGCTGTACACTCACGTTCTTCTCCCACTCATCGCCCGACTGCCTCTAGTACACACTAACTCTTTGCATGTCCTACAGCATTGTTACTGTTGACTTAAGCGCAGTACTGGTCTTACTATTGCCCATAAACTTCAGATTCACATAATCATTAGTCCTCCATCCCCGTTTCGGCTGACAAGCCCCAATGGTCGGGTCCCTATGCAGATCAACCAACAGGTCGGTCTGGTGCTTATCCTGACTTCCTCAACTTTTGATATCTGATGCCTTCCCGAAAGCCGGTTCAACAACCCGAGAGCCGTGTTTAAGTTTACATCGTCCACCAGCCACATGCCGGCCACGTTTAGTTGGCGACGAAGAAACAATCGCAGATGGATTACTTGACGTCATCACGGCATTAAGCAGCAGCGTTGAAGACACTTTTGGATTGATTCCCGGTTAACAACCGGCCACGCGGGGTTCGGGTTCAGGAGTCATTCAGGGTTAATTGGCATCGCACTAGAAGCTGCAACCTGTTCGTGGTAGCCAGCCATACACAAGCCGAAGATAGCTTCACTTAGTTAGGGGACTTCATTACCTTCGCTATAGTGTTTAAGGCATCATCACGTGTTGTAGCTCAGACAGATCACGGGGTAATCAGTTTCAGGGTATCGGTTTGGCCCATTTATTTTGAATCTGAGCTCCTACTGGTCTGTGTTGACTTCCGCATGCACTTTGTAGGGTCTTCAAAATGGATGCATTAAAAGCGTGATATGAACAGGCTAGCTGACCAGGTGATCTACCTGAACTATCGGCTGTCACTGGCAAAAGTGGTGGCTTGCGTTCCCCTCACTAATATTGAGCACCATTCAGCCTGCTTGCGGAACGAACTGTTACCTTACGGTAAACCAAACTGCGGTTTAAATCATCGTAAGTGGAAGCTCCACGTGCAGCCTGCACCTTTTATTGTCTACGAAATTGTTCCAGTAAGGTCAGACCAGGATGAACGTTGATTCACTGTCAGCCGGTTGCTCAAACGAAGTCTTTAGGTTGATTCAGAAATTCGGTGCTTTGGTGATGGAGACAATCGCTCTTATTGAATGCACTCGTGGGCCATTTTAGCCCATTTTGATCCCTGGCCGCGGGGTTGGCTGTGAGGCGGATGGGTCAACAGCTACTACGTTGTAGAGAAGTATGGACCGATGAACTAAGCATTACCAATCTCATTTCGCTTGCTCCTGGAAGCCCGGTTTCTCACTCACCGCATCCAATGGCATCTCAATAGCAATGCCACTGGATGCAATACCAGAAGTGCTTTAAGATCACCGGCTCAGAACAATTCAAGTACGGTGGTACAGCAATTGTCATGTTGTTGCCAATATTGTTGTTGATTGTCCGACAAGAAATAAGGACCCGTGCTTCCTAGGGAGTCAATTGCTGCTCCACTGTTCAAGGAAGGTTCTCAGAATTCATGTATCAAGTACCGTTTGCATCCAAGCTAATGACAT